TTTTTTGAAAATAATTACTTAGGGGGTGTTACTAAAACTTTCATAACTTTTGAAATATTAAAGATAAATACGTTCTGTAAAATAAATATGAACACCGACTAAATGTTTTATATTTTATCATTCAATATAATAATGCAAGGCTCTGATTTTTAAATAAACACGCAAAATGACGAACTTGGCAGAATTTCGAAATTTTAATGGTACTTTTGAGCAAAACTAATCAGAAAAATTATGTTTCTGTTGACTAATATGTAATACAAACATAATCAGACCAATTATAAAACATATTAACATTTTTACAGCAAATGGAAACTGATACAGGCACTACAATAAGCGAAATGAAAAAATCGCAAATTTTTTTTTATTTTTGCTTTCGGTCATAGGATAATTTCCTGACACTTAGATCATTATTACAATATTAATTTTTTTTCTGTAGAAAAATAACACATTTTTTATAAATATACATAACAATATATGCAATTTAAATAGTTTGATAACTCGTTTTGATGACTCGTTTTGGTGGATTGACATATAAGTTTTTTTAAGGTAATATATTTATATATGTTATATAAGTAGAAAACGATCTTTGCATACAATTGATACTAGTTTTATTTCCATTCCATATGGAAAATACTCTTCATAATCTTACTGACTTGAATGTTAAATGTTGGCGCTTCATGATTTTTCTGAAGTAAGGTTTAACTAAATGATGCCCCATCCAATAATTTATTATGGTTCGTATTTAGTTGTCGTTTATTCATGAATGAAATTTTTCTTTATGATCAGACTGAAACAAACTGTTGTGTAACTGCAAAGGCTTATTAGAATCATTAATTTTATGGATTCTCAAGTAAATGATTTGTTCTTAAGGTAGTATAAACACTCATTGTACACGCAGTTAGAACTATATTGTAACCCATTCTTTAATCAGAAAGACAAAATTCTTTATGATGACTGAAACTGTAATGCTTACGTAACTGTTGACGCATATTCGAATTAATTTCTAAAGATAAGAATGGAATTTTAATTAATTACAACAAGTTTTTTAATATTATAATTGAACTTGATGGCCACAAACAAGACAAAGACCTTTTCTATAAAATGATTTTTCGCCATGCTCTAAACACACAACACACTTTCTTACTTTAGAAGCTTGAAGCTTTCTATCAGCTTTGCTGTGCAATTCAAAGCATTTTAAAACAAGACGCAGCTTCTGTTCCTGATTCCTTACTGAATGCAACTGTCTTAATTCCTGATTAACGCCGCCAAAATTGTTTTATGCGATTTAACAAATAGTGGCACATTAAAAGTGAGTTCATGCATTTTTCGCGTAATACTTTCATTAGGAAAGCAAGTATGAAACTCATAAGCAAATAAATCTATATATTGACATAGCTCAATAATTTCGGCATCGGAAAGAAATTTTCGTTTAAAAAGAACCGGCTGCAACTTATTAAAAACGCTGAATACACGCATAAACTTATTTCTAATTGCCGCATGTTCAATAACACTACAATGGTTTAAGTAGTTTTTTAAAACTATTTTGCAATAATTACTAACAAATACATTACCGTGGTAAGCTTGCCGCTGAACATTCATATCATCAAGGGCCTGCAGAAGAGCCTTCTCATGAATGCCCATGTCGCCTCTTGATTTTTTCTCAAGATCCTCGCATTCAATCTGCAATCATGTATACTCATAATCTAAAATTTCTCGTTGTGCGCGCATAAAAAAAATTTTTTCTGAGATATACAGATGAAGATCTTCTATATCTTCACCCTGACAAGCTAAACATGCATAATTTTTAATGTCACACAATACACTCTTTTCAGAATCACCAATAATTTCACAATATTTATGAAACCACTCTTGACACGTACCACACTGCACCCAATTGATGTTAGAATCATATTTTGTAATTAAACACCTAATGCTAGCACAAATTTCTGGCTTTTTAATACTGTTTTTTTCATTGGAGGAGTTTAACGGTATGGATTCTAATTCAGAAAAATTATTTTTATTACTGGCTATTCATCAAGCCTGTAGATTTACTACGTCTACAAACTGTTCCCCGATTTAACGCAAGGCTGCTGTTGTTTTAGAAAATTCAAAGCTTTTAGCGACCCACATTTCACTTGTTTTTACAGCTTCATTATTATAATAATGAATTATTATAATAATATTATCTATAATATCTATAGATAAAGATGAATCAAAATTTAAATCTAAGGTTTTACATTCCTTCAATAACAATTTATACAGTTTTAACACTACTCCTAACATAATATGCAAAACAGGAGGCACTACATTATCTAAAGATATTATGGGGAAAATCACAGGAGAAACAACTGAATGATGAAACTTACCTAGAGCTCTTAGGTTTACTATTTTCACACAAGTTCACACAGTTTAAACAATAAAAAAGTTTAAGCACCTTCTAGAGATTTAATTGTTCTTCTTAAGACAATTCTTAAGACAATTTACAATTAGCATCATAAGAATTAGCAATTTACAATTAGCATCATAAGAATTAGGTTATTACAATTAGGTGTGTGAGGCATAGAAGCATGGTTTCTAAGAGATTTCAATTCAACTAGATCTGTAGAACATCATCGATGAAATGAAAATCTTCACCTAAGAACAACTTATTTTTTTTTCCTTTTAGTGTGAATTGGGAGGACTGAATTCTTTTAATGTCGTTGGCATAATGCCTAAGAAATAAGGCAATATTCTCACTACAGTCTGAACCCTGATACATACAAAACAAATAAATATCATACATAGACCCAGATGATTTAGACAAATTCAAAATGGAATTTCATATATGTCTCACCCTTATCGCTTGCAAAAAGTAGCCATATCTCATTATCAAAACCAACATCACCGTTAAGGTGGTTGCGAATTTGAAGATTGTTGTAAACCTCTTCAATATAAGTTATCAAACTCTTAACCATTAATACAGATACTAAACAAGGGGCTTCATTCGCAGATAGATAAAGCAACATGTACTTTACAGTAACATCTTTATCAACATTCATTGTCCGCCTTTTTTGTTCTTGTCTAATCTTGGGCTCAGATGGGAGAATCCTAGCACCAAGATTACACAGAATACGCCTAAGCTTACGGAATTCAGCCGTGGGCATCCTTAATTGGCTCTGAAGCTCTACAACATCTGAAACGCTTAACTGTGAAACAAAACCTAATTTATTTCCTACACAATGAAATATTGACATTTCACGAGATAGGACATCACATAACAACATACACAAATCACTTTTCACATCTGAACCAACTAACAATTGAAGGAATACGACTTTAGATCGTCTAGCTGCACTACGCCTACTTAACTTCGAATATTGTTTATCACAGCTTAACTTAATATAAATATGTTTTTGAACAACTATTGGGCTATCAACTGATGGGTTATGTGGTTTAATCCACTTAAACCCAGAAAACAATTCAGAAAAACCAATGTTATCATAGTCTAAATATAAATCCCCAACAATTATTCTTAGTTTTTTTACTTGTTAATTGGCTCTTATTTTGATACTTAACAGAGTTGCCAATATATTTTAATGAATATTGGTAAAACTATATGATGTTATTTACTTTCTTGATTTAATGGAAATATTTATGCAAGCTTTAACCTTTTTATTTTATTGGAGATACTATTTTTTTTTTAACTTGTAAAGCCCACCTAGGGGCTCTATGAAAAGATTGTGGTGACTTTAGTCATCCGTATCTTCTTTGAGCCCCTGCCTGTTTATTATAAAATCACTTTTTTTTGTATGTAAACGTTTCTTTGTAATTATATTTATTATTATATAAACAGCAAATATATATTAAATAAAAAAATAAAAAAAAAATTAAATTCTTACCGCTAACCAAACATTTTCAAATTTGGTAACTGTTTTGTTTTATATTAACTTTTGTTTTATATTAACCCCCCCTCGTCACAAAATCGTAACACTTAAGAAGCGAGTTTTGAATGAGTCGTCACAAAACCACCAATCCCCCGTTATAGCGTGACGTAATTTATGGACGAACTCTAATGAAGCTGGAGACAGTTGCGTAATAAAAAATGCTTCGTTTTTAGAAGCTTCATAATTTTTTATAAAATCTTTTTTTTGTTTTAATAATTTTTTGCACATTTTTTCAAAGTCTTTAATAATAGGCAAATTAAACTCAATTGGAATAATAAAACTTAGAAAGCTAAACAATGTTTTAGATGGAAAGACTTTAAGTAAAATTAAAATAACGTTGTTAGTGATTTTATCAGTGTTCATTAATTGCTTAATAAAAAGAAAGTTACATTCATTTTCTCAGCTGTTTTCCCATCCAATGTATAGTATTAATATCTTCTTTTCACTAGAATGCATAGTGATACATAAACTTCTCAATAAAAATAAAACACAAACAAATAAAATCAAACAATAATTATTGACAAATAACAAGCATGCAATAGATATCAGAGGATTAAACAACTTATCTGATGTTTGTAGATTAGCCATGAGAGAAAAAAACCGCCAAAGTTTGTTTTATTTATACACTAAAATTTGACTCGCTAAAAAAGCTGTTTTAATAAATTTAATTACATAGTGAATTGGGAAGAAACTTTAACTATTTTTTTATCTATGCCCACCAAAAATCTGATAAAATAGACATTCGTTGATAAGTAAGTAAAATTTCAACCATCAAGCATGTAGCTTAAAATATCTAATCTTGATTGGCCCAAGACCGGTTTTTCGTAAAATACGCAAAAAACAGAAAAGTGATCCCAAATCATTAGCAATATTTTTACAACTTTTAATTTTACTCCGTTTAATGAAAATATTTATTTAACAAGGAAAGATAGATGTATCATTTTTTTTTTTATTAGAACAAAAAAGCATTTATAGAAAAAAAAAAACTATTACTTTAAAGTTATTAAATTTTTATACTTTATATGCCGAAATTTTTAAAAAACTTTTTATGCGGAAATTGTTTTTGCTAAACTCGTGACGTAATGCCCAATTTTACATGACGTGATCCTATATTTTTCAACTTTGTAAAATGAATAAACAGGTTGTAACAGGTTGAACTTTGTAAACGGGTTGAACTTTGTAAAATGAATGAACAGGTTGGTTATGAATACAGCAAAACAGGTTAGTTAAAAATTTACTTACATACACACATCTACTCATATTTTACTCTTATTTTTTTTTTTTTTCTTAATTATTTTTCGTTATACAATTTTAATATAAATTTAGAAATAGTCGTATAATAACAGAAATTATTTAGCATGATGTATATTTTAAAAATAACGTATATAAAGATTTTAGAGTTCGTAATGTAAAAAAAATAAAATATATATTAAAAATAAATAATTTTATAAAATCCAAACATTTGTATTACAGGTTGGTAAAACACACCCTTGTAAAAAAAAATTTCTATTTATAGGCCAAAATTTAAAATTTAAAATAAAAGTTAGTGCAAATAAAATTATATTTTTACTTGTATTCTCTTGAGTAACAATAATTACTTGAAGTTGTTCAAATTGTTAAGTTCACTTTGTTTTGTTCAAATTTCACTTTGTTTTGTTCAAATTGTTAAGTTTACAAGTTTATTACATAAAGTTTTGTTAACATAACCATTTTAAAATAAATAAAATTCATAAAATAAATAAATAAAGTTGTCTAACATTAAAATTTATTTAAAAAATTTTTTAAAACTAGTATAATTTTATATATAAACTTTTCTAAATATAATCATAATGCGCTGCATTTGAAAAAAATTAAAAAGTTTTGTAAGAAGCTTAAACTTTTTACTTAATAAATGATAATAAATTTATTTTAATTAAAGTAATAAATTTTATAATACATTAGATATTTAATCTTTTTTAGAAAATTTATTTTCACGCAAGAAACTACTTAGTAAAATTCAACATTATTTTTTACAAGATGCAAACAACTCAACTTTAGTAATATATGGAATGTCAGGTGTCGGTAAGACACATATTTCCAAAAAATACTGTGAAATATCTTATAACTTTTATAAAAACTTTGTTTGGATTGATGCAGCATTTGGAATGTTACAAACTTCAATGAGAAACCAATGTCAAATATTAGGATTCGAGGTTCATGATTCAAAAGGAGATTATTTTAATATAAAAGTGATTGTTGAAAAAATTCACAACTATTATAAAAATGAAAAGACTTTGTATATTTTTGACAATGTGGACGATGAAAGTGTTAAAAATTTATCAATGTACATTTCAAGCAAACCGAATTCATTTACATTGATTACTTCCCAATGGAGAACGTGGTCGAGTAATGTAAATAAAATGCTAGTTGATGTGTTTTCTTCTAAAGAAGCATTCGCTTATGTTAAAAACAATTTTCAAGAAAACTGCGACAAAAACATAAGAAACTTAAATAAAGAACTTGGTTATCATCCATTTGCAATTACTCAGGCAATAAAATACATAAATATACATAAAATCTCAATAGAAAAATACATAGATCGATATAGATCGAAACCATCAGAAATATTAGACAATAATAACTTTCCTACTGAAGAAGAACCAAAGTCTGTAATAAAAGCAATTAATTTAGTTTTAACAAAATTAGAAAGAACTAAACCTTTTCCATTTAAAATATTGAACTGTTTATCTCATTGCGACGGTCAAAACATCAGCAAACAGTTTATAACACAAATCTCAAATCAAATAGAAACAAATGATGAATCTGTAATAGATGAAGCTATTGGATTACTTATGAGTTATTCTTTACTAAACTGTTTTAATGATAATAAATATACAATACACGAACTGACACAGTTAACATGTAAATGTTTTCAAAAGAGAATTTCAAGTACAAATACATATCTTAATTTAATCAAAAATTATTTTAAAGTTGAATTGAATGAAGTAAAAGATCACATGAATTATGGAAATCATTTTGTTTTTCATTTTATCTATATGTTTCGTAATAACAAAAAAGATTTTTCAGAAACCTTTCATCATATGGCGACTTCAATTCAAAAATTATTAGTATGTAAAGGGTTATTTAAAGAAGCAATCGAAATATTAAAAACTTTTCAAAATTTTAATATAGAAACTCGTGGTGAAAACAAATTCACGCTTAATACAAAAAATAATATTGCACTCTGTTTGTACAAAATGGGAAAATATAACAAAGCTTTAGAAATGTATTATTGTGTTGATAAAATACGAACTGAAATTTTAGATATCAACCATCCGGATACAATGACAACAAAAAATAATATTGCACTCTGTTTGAACAATATGGGAAAGTATAACGAAGCTTTAGAAATTTATTATTCTGTTGATAAAATAAAAACTAAAACTTTAGGTATCAACCATCCTTCTACAATGACAACAAAAAATAATATCGCACTCTGTTTAAATGAAATGGGAAAATTTAACCAAGCTTTAGAAATTTATTATTCTGTTGATAAAATACAAACTGAAATTTTAGGTATCAGCCATCCGGATACAATGTCAACAAAAAATAATATCGCACTCTGTTTAAATAAAATGGGAAAATATAACGAAGCTTTAGAAATTTTTGATTCTTTTATTAAAATACAAACTAAAATTTTAGGTATCAACCACCCCGATACAATGACAACAAAAAATAATATTGCGCTCTGCTTAAACAATATGGGAAAATATAACAAAGCTTTAGAAATTTATTATTCTGTTGATAAAATACGAACTAAAGTTTTAGGTAACAACCATCCTGATACAGTGACAACAATGCATAATATTGCAAGCTGTTTGCGCAATATGGGAAAATATAACCAAGCCTTAGATATTTATTACTCTGTTGATAAAATAAAAACTGAAATTTTAGGTATTACACATCCATCTACAATGACAACAAAACATAGTATCGCAAGCTGTTTGAACAATATGGGAAAATATAACGAAGCTTTAGAAATTTATTATTCTGTTAATAAAATACAAACTGAAGTTTTAGGTATCAATCATCCATCTACAATAATAACAAAACATAATATCGCACTCTGTTTGAACAATATGGGAAAATATAAGAGTGCTTTAGAAATTTATTATTCTGTTGATAAAATACAATCTGAAATTTTAGGTATCAACCATCCGGATACAATGACAACAAAACATAATATTGCAAGCTGTTTGGACAATATGGGAATGTATAACGAAGCTTTAGAAATTTATTATTCTGTTGATAAAATACTAAATGAAATTTTAGGTATCAACCATCCGTCTACAATGGCAACAAAGCATAATATCGCACTCTGTTTAAACAATATGGGAAAGTATAACCAAGCTTTAGAAATTTATTATTCTGTTGATAAAATACAAACTGAAATTTTAGGTATCAACCATCCGTCTACAATGACAACAAAACATAATATTGCACTCTGTTTGAATAATATGGGAAAATATAACGAAGCTTTAGAAATTTATTATTCTGTTGATAAAATACAAACTGGAATTTTAGGTATCAACCATCCGTCTACAATGGCAACAAAGCATAATATTGCACTTTGTTTGAATAATATCGGAAAATATAATGAAGCTTTAGAAATTTATTATTATGTTTATAAATTACGCACTAAAGTTTTAGGTATCAATCATCCAAATACAATGACAACAAACCATAATATTGCAAGCTGTTTAGACAATATGGGAAAATATAACGAAGCTTTAGAAATTTATTATTCTGTTGATAAAATACAAACTGAAATTTTAGGTATCAACCATCCGTCTACAATGACAACAAAACATAATATTGCACTCTGTTTGAACAATATGGGAAAATATAACGAAGCTTTAGAAATTTATTATTCTGTTGATAAAATACAATCTGATATTTTAGGCATCAACCATCCTGATACAATGACAACAAAGCATAATACCGCAAGCTGTTTGTGCAATATGGGAAAATATAACCAAGCTTTAGAAATTTATAATTCTGTTGATAAACTAAAAACTGAAGTTTTAAGTATCAACCATCCGTCTACAATGGCAACAAAGCATAATATTGCACTTTGTTTGAATAATATGGGAAAATATAATGAAGCTTTAGAAATTTATTATTCTGTTGATAAATTACGCACTAAAGTTGTAGGTATTAATCATCCGGATACAATGACAACAAAACATAATACCGCAAACTGTTTGAACAATATGGGAAAATATAACGAAGCTTTAAAAATTTATTATTCTGTTGATAAATTACGAACTGAAGTTTTAGGTAACATTCATCCAGATACAGTGACAACAAAGCATAATATCGCACTCTGTTTGAACAATACAGGAAAATATAACGAAGCTTTAGCAATTTATTATTCTGTTTATAAATTACAAACTGAGCTTTTAGGTATCAACCATCCATCTACAATGATAACAAAACACAATATCGCACTTTGTTTGAACAATATGGGAAAATTTAACAAAGCTTTAGGTATTTATTATTCTCTTGATACAATGCGAACTGAAGTTTTAGGTATCAACCATACGGATAGAATGACAACAAAACATAATATCGCATGCTGTTTGCGCAATATGGGAAAATATAATGAAGCTTTAAAAATTTATTATTTTGTTGATAAAATACAAACTGAAATTTTAGGTATCAATCACCCGGATACAATGACAACAAAACATAATATCGCACTCTGTTTGAATAATATTGGAAAATATAACCAAGCTTTAAAAATTTATCATTCTGTTGATGAATTACGCACTAAAGTTTTAGGTATCAATCATCCAGATACAATGACAACAAAACATAATATCGCAAGCTGTTTGGACAATATGGGAAAATACAACGAAGCTCTAGAAGTTTATTATTTTGTTGATAAAATACAAACAGAAGTTTTAGGTATCAATCATCTGTCTACAATAATAACAAAACATAATATTGCACTCTCTTTGAACAATATGGGAAAATATAAGGACGCTTTAGAAATTTATTATTCTGTTGATAAAATACAATCTGAAATTTTAGGTATCAACCATCCGGATTCAATGACAACAAAACATAATATCGCAAGCTGTTTGAACAATATGGGTAAATGTAAGGACGCTTTAGAAATTTATTATTCTGTTGATAGAATACTATCTGAAATTTTAGGTATCGACCATCCGGATACAATGACAACAAAACATAATACCGCAAGCTGTTTGTGCAATATAGGAAAATATAACCAAGCTTTAGAAATTTATTATTCTGTTGATAAATTAAAAACTGAAACTTTAGGTATCAACCATCCGTCTACAATGGCAACAAAGCATAATATCGCTGTCTGTTTGAACAATATGGGAAAATATAACGAAGCTTTAGAAATTTATTATTCTGTTGATAAAATACAAACTAAAATTTTAGGTATCAATCATCCATCTACAATGAAAACAAAACATAATCTTGCAAGATGTTTGAAACATATGGGAAAATATAACGAAGCTTTAGAAATTTATTATTCTCTTGATAAAATGCAAACTGAAGTTTTAGGTATCAATCATAAGGATAGAATGACAACAAAACATAATATTGCAAGCTGTTTGCGCAATATGCGAAAATATGATGAAGCTTTAGCAATTTATTATTCTGTTGATAAAATACAATCTGAAATTTTAGGATTTAACCATCCAGGTACAATGACAACGAAATATAATATCGCACTCTGTTTGAATAATATGGGAAAATATAGCGAAGCTTTAGAAATTTATTATTCTGTTGATAAGATACGAACTGAAGTTTTAGGTATCAAACATCCGGATACAATGACAACAAAACAAAGTATCACACTTTATTTGGACAGTTTGAGAAAATGTCAAATGACTTGTTTAATTATTTGATTACTTTTTTAGTTTTAATATATATTAAGTTCATATGTTTATATAATATAACTAACGCACGTTTTCTCTAAAAGTTTTATCTAAATAATTTTTTTCTTCTAATAGATATATAAGTAAAAATTAAAGTAAATTTATTTAAAATATTTAAAAAATGAACTAGTTAAAATAATTTCCTCTAGAGTCGAAGTATTGAATATTAAAAACGCTATTTGATTTAATTGAGCCTGTCATTACCAATAGGGCGCAAGTCCTTTTATCAAAAATTTTCTAAATCAACATAAACATGATTTTTATTAAAATAATGTCATTACTGTTAAAGAAATTAACATAAAAGTAGATAAATAAAGAATCTTCATAAATTATGTAAAAAAAATTTTTTTTTTTTAAAGTCATTAATCATACAGAAAATTTTAAATTTTAATCTAACTGTTAAAACTTTTTGAATTGTTTCACATGTTCTATTTTTAACTCTTGCGATATTAATTTACATTACGCTAATGATGAATTTTTGTTCTTATTAATTTAAATTAGAAAAAATATGTTTTAAACGGCTGTTTTTGCTTTAATGATATTATTTGAATGAAAATATTTGTTATATTTTGTTAATTCTAAGTGTTGCAATAAAAAATTGCGTATGAATAAAAATTTTGTTAACTTTTTTAAAAGAATGCAGAGATTCAATAAGATCGTACGGATCCTGGCAATATCAACCTAGCTGACCTAAGAACTCCACTTATATAGGATGATTGCGTGCACATCAACGTACCCTATTATGTAAATTTTGAAATATTTAAATTTTTTGATCAAGTTAAGTGAAATTTTGTCTTTATAGTGACAAAAACATCTGTGGAATGAGAACCACTACACGTAATTTGATAAAAATTAGTGCAAATGTAGCCACGGCTGTTTCAGAGTGAGCTTTACGGCTTTTTGTTTTTTTTGGAAATTATTGACTTAGGGGGTGTTACTAAAACATTTATAACTTTTGAAATATTTGAGAATATTTTGTTCTGTAAAAAGATTTAAAACAACAATAAAATGTTTTATCATACGACCTTTAATACAATAGTAAAAAAACTTCTTTTATTTAATAAAAAACGCGACAAATGATGAACTTGGATAAATTTTAGTAATTTGTTGTTACTTTTTATCAAAAAAAAATCAGAAAAATATATTTCTGATAATTATAATCACATACACTCGTTTAACTATTATCAAAATAAAAAAACCTTATTTAATTGTTAAAGGTTAACTAAAACAGTCTTTATTGAGGTCGCATTTTTTGCAAAATTATGAAAGATGTCGCTTAAAGGAGGATTAACTTTTAATTGAGTACGTTTTTAAATATGAAAATAATTCACTAAGTTGATAAATTCAATGCATTACAAAATAAAGGCAGATTTTGAAATATTTAGTCTTAAAATGTTAAGTTAAAGCCTTTAAAAAATTTAAGCGATTACTTTCTATGCATACAGTTTTAATAATATAGTGAAAGGTTAATTGAATCAATCTCTTCTCACAAAAAATAAAACATTTGCTTTAATATACAACTAGCTAATTTAAATTGTTTGATAATGTGTTTTTATTCTCATAAAAAACTGTTTTATAATAAGTTGATCCACTGATAAGTTCTTTAAGTAGAAAACGACCTTTGTACACCTAGTTGATAATAAATCCAGGCTCAATTCTAAACTAGAAGAACAGTTTTTGTTCAACAGACTCACAATGGTGACAATAACTTTAACACTTTCTTTATTTAAACTGTATCTTTTAACTAACTTGTTATTTATGAGTCTAAAATTCTATTCTTTAACAAGAGAAAAGGTATGTTGAGCAGAGGTACTGCAGAGGTAGAACTAATTTCTGATGATAATAATCGAATGGGCATCTAATATTTAAATTAAATGTTACATATAATAAAATACCATACATTTTTTAAATTAACTACACAAACAAATATTTTATATCATAGCCAACAAACATACTAGTTGCTCTGATTATAAGTTAAAGTAGTAAGCTATATTTTTACACCAATTTAATCCTAGACTTATATACCATTCTTTAACCTAGATGGTTGGATAGGTATAATTAACTTTTGAAGATAAGAATAAAGTGGGCACCTACCTAATATATAAAGTCAATATAATAGAAAACAATAAATATTTTAAAGTAACATTATACAGGCATGATAAAACAAAATAAAATTTTCTTATTTACTATTTAAGGACCTTAGATATTATATCTCAGATATAAAAATATTTTTTCATTAAATTTTTAATTATTTAGACAAAATTTTATGACCACAAACAAGACAAAGGCCTTGTCTATAAAACGAATTTTCACCGCGCTTAGAACACACAACACACTTTCTCACTTTAGAGGCTTGAAGCTTCCTATCAGCTTTGCTGTGCAATTCAAAGCGTTTTAAAACAAGACGCAGGTTCTTTTCCTGATTTCTTACTGAATGCAACTGTCTTAATTCCTTATTTACACTATTATGCAAACACTTTCCCTCCTCTTCACTCAGCAACCCAATAGTTTTATGCAATTTTACAAATAGTGGCACATTAAAAACAAGTTCATGATGATACTTTCTTTTGGAAAGCAAGCATGAAAACTCGATAGCAAATAAATTTATATATTGATGAAGCTCAGTAATTTCGGCATCAGAAAGAAATTTTTGCTTAAAAAAGAATAGGTTGCAACTTATTAAAAACACTAAACACACGTACAAATCTATTTTTATTAGCTTTATCATCAATAACACTACAAAGTTTATAGTGGTTTCTTAAGACTATTTTGCAATGATTACCTACAAACACATTACCATGATACGCTTGCCGCTCAACCTTCATATCTTCAAGGGCCTTATCAAGAGACCTCTCATGAGTCCCCATGCTACTTTTAGATTTTTTTTCTAGGTCTTCACACTCCATCTGCAATTTAATATATTTGACATCTAAAACTTCGCGTTGTGCACGTATAAAAGAATTTTTTTCAGAAATATAATGGTCAAGACATTCTATATTTTCACCCTGACATGCTAAACACTCGTACATCGCTATGTCACTTAATACACTCTTTTCTGAATCACCAATAATTTCACAAAATTGATGAAACCATTTTTGGCACGTACCACACTGCACCCAATCACTGTTACAATCATACTTTGTAATTAAACACCTGATACTAGCACACGTTTCTTGCTGTTTACAGGGTTTTTTTTTAGAGGAGTTTAAGGATATGCTATCTAATTTAGAAAAATTGTTTTTAAAAGCTAACCATCGCGCCTGTAGATTTGCAATGTCTACAAATTGATTTCCTAATAAACGCAAAGTTTCTGCTGTTTTAGAACATTTAATGCTTTTAGCAGCCCACAATTCATTCGTTCTCACAATCTTATTATGCGACAAAGAAGAATCAGCTTGACAATCTAAAGTCCTACACTCCTTCAACAATAACTTATACAGTTTTAACACAACTCCTAACATAATATGCAAAACAGGTGGCACTACATTAAAGTTATTATGAGGAAAATTACAGGAGCAATAATTGATTTATGAAATTTACCTAAAGCTCTTAAGTTTCCACCATGTCTATCTTCACAGAAGTTCTCATTGTAAGCACTTTCCAGAGATTGTGTTGTTCTCCTTAAGATGTTACAATTAGCAGGTGTGTGAGGCATAGAAGCATGGTTTCTAAGAGAACTCAATTCAACTAGATCTGTAGAACTAGTAAAGCTAGCAGCTGAACCCTGGTGTCCCAGAACATCATCGATGAAATGAAAATCTCCACCTAAGAACAACCTGACTATTTTGCCTTTTAGCTTAAAATCTAACGACTGAATTCTTTTAATGTTGTTGGCATAATGCCCGAGAATTAAGGCAATATTCTCACGACAATCTGAACCCTGATACATACAAATCAAATGAACATCATATACAGACCCTGATGATTTAGAATTGACAACTTCAAAATGGAATTTCATATACTTTCCACCCTTATCCCCAGCAAAAAGGAGCCATACCTCTTCGCCAAAGCCAACATCCGAATTAAGGTGGTCGCGTACATGAAGATCATTAAAAACCTCTTCAATATAAGTTGTCAAATTCTTGACCATCAGTACAGATACTGAACAAGGTGCTTCATTCGCAGATGGATAAAGTAAGATGGACTTCACAGTAACATGTTCTTTATTGACATGCATTGTCCGCATTTCTTGTTCTTGTCTTATCTTGGGCTCAGATGGAAGAATCCTTGCACCAAGATTACACAGAATACGTCTTAGCCTCCGGAATTCAGCCGTGGGCATCCTTAATTGGCTCTGCAGCTCTACAGCATCAGAAACACTTAACTGCCTAACTAAACCTAATTTATTTGCAACACAACAAAACATAGACTTATCACAAGACACAGAATCACAAAATAACATAGACAAATCACTTTCGAAGGAATATAAAATCAAGTTTAGATCGTCAAGCTGCAGCATGCCTACCTAACTTAGAATAAGGTTTACCATGTCCTAACTTAATGTAAATATATTTTTTACTAACTATCGGCCTTTTAACTGATATAGTCTGTGGATTACTTAATTTAAATCCACAGAAAAATTCAGAGGAACCAATGTTGTCATAGTCTAAATAAGAATCAACAACAACTAAATCCTTATCACCGCTTAGAAGACATTTGCAAATTTGACAACAATTCCGCTTTAAATCACTGATTTTTGCATTGTTTTTTTCAAATTTAATTTTTTTTAGCAATCTTACATTTTTGGCACGAGCAGATGCAAATTTATGCTGTGCTGTTTTGATTTTTTTTTTTTTTTAAATAAGTTGGAACTTCTCCTCCTGTTTTAGCCTAATACTCATAGCCTCTACTTGAGAACATAATGAGTTACAATGTGTACTAACAGCCTCATTTTTAGAATTTAAATTACAAATTTCAGCTTCCAACTTTAATAACTTCAGTTTTAATTTCTCTATTTGCTCTACATTTGCTATATTTTCAGAAGTTAATTGGTCAACTTGACTACTTAGTTCCTTATTCCT